GTGTGTTGCGTGTGCCATCTCTGTTGACGTGTGTTGCGTGTGCCATCTCTGTTGACGTTTGTTGCGTGCCATCTCCGAGTGGTACTGAAATGTTCGTGTGTTCGCTGGCTTACAAAGGTTACGATACTTGCTATACTGCGCACGTTTGACCTGCGCTCTGAGTGTTGTGTAGCTGTTTTGTTCTTAATAATGCTGACAGTTATCCCAGAGTACAATAGTTCGCTGCTTTTAGGAATAAAAGTTACAAGACTGTGCCTGGAAGAGGTCACAACGTGGCTGAAACATGTCACAATAACGTGGCTGGAACAGGTCACAATAACGTGGCTGGAACAGGTCACAATAACGTGGCTGGAACAGGTCACAATAACGTGGCTGGAACAGGTCATAATAACGTGGCTGGAACAGGTCATAATAACGTGGCTGGAACAGGTCACAATAACGTGGCTGGAACAGGTCATAATAACGTGGCTGGAACAAGTCACAATAACGTGGCTGGAACAGGTCACAATAACGTGGCTGGAACAGGTCACAATAACGTGGCTGGAACAGGTCACAATAACGTGGCTGGAACAGGTCACAATAACGTGGCTGGAGCAGGTCACAATAACGTGGCTGAAACAGGTCATAATAACGTGGCTGGAACAGGTCACAATAACGTGGCTGGAACAGGTCATAATAACGTGGCTGGAACAGATCACAATAACGTGGCTGGAACAGGTCACAGTAGCGTGGCTGGAACAGGTCACAATAACGTGGCTGGAACAGGTCACAATAACGTGGCTGGAACAGGTCACAACTAACTTTCAGATTGAAAATGGTCAACGTTTCCGTCCGTCCTGGACAAATATAATAGACAAGGATGGTCCACAGCGAACTCCATTTTCATTTACAATTTGAAGGGTGACTGTGAAGTTTCTTTTTCGTGTGAAGCTCATATCCCGTGAAAGAAGCATGAAAAGTGCAGAGAAGTTCTTTCTGTTTACAATCTAGAGTGTTGTCAAAGATGTTAATACTGAGCCATTTTTCTCTTAATTTGTACTCTGTTTAAAACAGCAAAACTCTTTCAATCCACAAGAGATCTATCGTGACAATTTTGATGTGCGTATAGACACACAGTTATGTACATGGTGTCCCGTCTCCATATATTTATACTTTGTCTAGTATTGAAACGTTTGCTAAATGTTCTTGGATTCCATTCCAGTATTCCAACATTATGTGAAGACACTTCCTCGACTGTCTTTCCTTAAAAGCAGTTTGCTCACAGTGCCTCGATTATTGCTAGTATAGTTGTGCAAGAATGGTATACAGTGCCGACAAAATGAAAACTGAGACACATGTGCAGCATCTGAGTATCTTTATTGTAGACGTTTCGCCATCCAGTAGCTTTATCAATATAGATTCTAGGACATAATTTGAAGACAGTAGAACTATATACAAAAGATGAGGTAATGAATCCCTCAGCCTTGGAGTTGGTGTGAAGAGCACCGTAGTCGTGAAGATTCTGGAGCAGAGGTAAGGAGACTGGCGCTTATATACTAACGTCAGGTGGATTGGGACGTGTAGCAGACGAGGGCATAGTCAATGGTAGGCGGGATTTCCCACTGAATGTCATACCCAAAGGAATGGGTAAGTTGTAGCAGTAGTTGTAGTAGCCGTGAAGAAGGTCACGTAGATGTCCTTTGAACCAAGATTCCATGATGTTGCAATGTCTGACAAGTTGTACAAGAATGGTATACAGTACCTACAAAATGAATCTTCATGACTACGGTGTTCTTCACACCAACTCCAAGGCTGAGGGACTGATTACCTCATCTTTTGTATATAGTTCTACCGTCTTCAAATTATGACCTAGAATCTGTATTGATAAAGCCACTGGATGGCGAAACGTCTACAATAAAGCTATCCAGATGTTGCATATATGTCTCAGTTTTCATTGCTAGTACGTATAGTCATGGAGAAGCAAGGGTATGGCAGCACCTCACAACCCATTAACCCCAATGATGCTCTGATTGAGGAATTATTTTCTCTCAGGGAGTTGCTTATAGCATTAAGTTTCCTGAAATGTTTAATTTATGTAATGTTAGAGTTAGGTGTGTTATGTATTGTTTACATTTATTTTTGGGGAGAAGAGGAGCAACTGTCTTTCTTGTAAATGAATGTAAACTGAAGTTGGTCACTTATTTCACCTGAGTTTCTTTCCCGCTGATGTTGTACATACAAGACCTGACGTTTGGTTAGGAGGATGAGCTGATATAAGACTATGTTCCCTGAGAATGTGATTTGATACATCACGAAATCTCCTGGGATTTTTTTCATTTAAAGTGATCAAATTGCATTTTATTGGGCATCTCCGACGGGGTACCTTTAAATTCTTATCTTCCGCCACATCTACATATGTGCACACACTTTCACGCGTATACATATGCATACGCACATGCATAGGTAAGCATACGTATGCACGCATACACACGCTTACCCATACATATTTTTATATCCTCCTGCGTTAGAGTTTTATAACCGACCTGCAGTGTACTATGTGCATTAAGGTAGAGGGGGTTGGGCTTAGAAAATACTGGGATACTTTTCTAAGATCGCGCAGCGACTGAATCAAGCCTAGTTTACATCCACTTAGATGAAGGCAGATAGACAGACATACAAGAGAGATTAATGTACCTTCGCGTCCAGGTGGCTGAGATTTCTCCCCAGAACCTTCCCTCATCCTTCATTGTGATGTGCATCACGTGGAAAATAACATATTTATATTCTTATATAGTATATCAGGCGCATTTAATCTACGGACCGCTGGCTGCATCCGGAGTAACAAAGAAAAAACGCTGTGACCCGCCGCGAGAGACAGTCATGGCATGGAACTATCCTCTGCGTTAAGATGTATTGCTGTATCTATCATCAAATTCTTAGCATTCAAACCATTCTTGAGTATAGTTACATGTGACATTGTATGAATGTTCATTATGTCTCTAAACCTTGCTAATGCAGCAGTGTATAGTAACTCCGAGTATTAGTATATGAAGATACAATCTGTATTCGCTGTGGCAACATGAAAGGTTGCCAGGAGTCGATAATTACCTGCCAGCTGACAGTGGTCACAGACTTATGAACTAGCTTATTACCCTATATTTGTTATTAATCATATTATTTTTAACTCTTGTGGCTCCCCGGGTCAGCAGTGCACCTCAGGGAAGAAAAATAGAGCAGCATCGATCTGTCTAACTGCCTTTTTCAAGCATCTATGTCACATTTCTATATTACTGGTGTTATTTTATTCGTCAGGGAAAAGTCTTGACTCGTCTTTGGCATTAGACGATCCGTTAAGTGGCGTCGACTCTATGGTGGAGGAGCAGCAAGATAGTGTCTGAGAACATGTTAAGGTATGATACCCGATGGCACCATGAGTGCTCTTTTAAGCACCACGGCAGTAGCAACACACAGCTTCCAGGCACCGGACTCAGTCAACTGGGTCGCATGTTGATTATCTGAACTGCAATATCAGCAAGGTTATTTACGTACTCCTAGAGGTGGTTATCTCTCATTGTGTATGCATTGAGAAGTTACGTTATTGAAGAGAAAAAAAAAACCGTGTGACTTTAAAAATATGTTAGAGAAAGAATGAAACTGGCATAATACCGTGACCGGAACAGTAACAAATAACTGTCACATGAGAGAATGAAATTTATGAAGACATTTCGCTTCGACTTGGACTATTAACTGGGCCTACTGGCCCATGCCTGCTGGCCCATCTTGCAGATAACAATGAAAAATTTATTGTCTGAAACAGTAATTTCTTCTCAATGAAGTTTGTTGGAAAATTGGAGAGTCAGAAAGTACCGTAATGATCAATTGTGTCATATCTGTCATAACATGCCATAGAGAATCTGTGGAAAGATTGCATTAATTTGACACCAAACATTATCAATAAAAAAATATCCTTCATTTGTAAACCTCGTTTTTTGACACATCAAGAGTTAATATCCGAGCGTCCCTTGTATACGGAAATTTATTAATGTTAAGGTTACTTTAAATTAGGGTCAGGTGGGTGTGGTAAACCTCTATAAACTCGTCTTTAACAACATATAAACAAAAACCGACCAGACAGAAGGATGTCTCGGAGAACATGTACAACGTTCAAATCTTGCAAGCCTATCAGACGTTCTGTGAGGGAAAAGTTACAGTTGTGGACCACAACTGTTAGGAGGACACATGACCCGGCGGAAGACAACCACCATAAACAGTTTACATACAAGTTGCTCTTTGATAAAACTAACCCAATACGTAATTATTATTATAATCAAAAAGAAGCGCTAAACCACAAGGGCTATACAGTGCTGCAGGGCAGGGAAGGAAGCGAGGGTATCGGGCGGCTGAAGGGGGGGGAGGGATTATTAGTAGGGATAGTGCGGGGGTAGAGGGTACCTAATACGTAAGGTATAGTAATCTGATTTATCCTGATTAACTTAATTACTCTGATGTGATCACTCGTCTCCCTCCTCTCATCTTCCCTGCAAGTGCTCGATGCTGGCTACTAGTGAACACATTCGACGCACATTGTTATTATAATCGAGGGGAAGCGCTAAACCCGTAAGATTATACAGCGCCTGGGGGGATGTGGAAGGCATTCAGGCTCAATTCGGGGAACTGGAGCACAGATCCAATTCCCTAAATCAAGAGCCCCTCACCAACATCAAGAAACCTTCCGTGCGGGGATTCGACACACAATCACGGTAATGTAGGGGCAGATTTCCTACCCACATACACGGTGCTTCTGTCCCCCTTGTAGTAAAAAATACATTCTGTGTTAGCTGAGTATTGTGAGTGGTAAATAGTGAACAAATTACTAAATAAATTGTACTAGAAAATTGAAGGCCTGCTGGAAATCACAGACTGTGTCAGAAATCTCCAGTCATGCTGAAGGTACTCAAGTGTTGAGTGAAAGGTATCAACACGAGGCTGTGTATTTAGTGATGTTAATGAAATGTTCTTACCTTCAACTGTAGGAAAGAAGAATGTGTAGATACACTTTCTCTCTCTCTCTGATCTTCGTGTTATGGGTAATAATTCTGAACGAGGTGCAGCTGTTACTAATGGTTAATCTCCGGTAGAAATTCGGATCATTTTAACACAATCACAGTTTCTTTCACCATTAATTATGATACTCTATTAACACAGACGACTACAGTACCTTTATCACAGAAACGACTATAATAACCAAAGCCCTGGCTTCTCTGACTGTGAGAAGGCAGAGCACAAGCCGACACCAGTCCGGTCTCCACACTGAGGGATCCTTACTGCAGCCGACTTCTCTGGGTAAGAAGTAAGAGGCGGAGCAACAGAAGGAGGTGTATTGAGAGGCGTTGATTGGCTCAACACTCCTTGCAAGACCACGCCTGCTCCGGTAGGACCCTTTCCTTCACTAACAGCGTTACGTTATGTTACATGATTTGCAATAAAGTGGGTATTTACAGTGACTCAAAGTCACATATAAAGCCTTTATGTCATGACAGTCTAAAATTAGCCTTAAAATTATATCTGTGTGAAGTGTATACACATCGACAGATGTATATCAGTATATGCATTGAGAAGCTATTATATTATTATTATTATAACTATTATTATTATATTCATGGAAGCACTAAACTCGTATGAGTTACGCAGCCCCTAGGCATTAGGAGGTAATCAGGTTCCTTGGATCAAGACCGTCATCAAAGCATCCCATCCTTCCTGAAGGTTGCACCGAGACTTGTGTGTGTCTCAGTGTACATGCATTGTGATGGGTATAGTTCTCGATGTATAAACACAGGGTCTTCTAGATGCTAGTGTACTATTAACTCAAGTTATTTACCAGGCTTTAAACTTTACAGACTATTTAAATACAATCGTAGGTCTTAATGTTGAAATTTACTCAGATTTGTACGAATCGATATATCCCACAAGAGAATAAATTATGTAAACTACAGATCTGAAGATTTTAAGATTTATTCCACAAGATAAGATTCACTTTTCATTGGTGTAGGCTCAGATGTCAGTCTAGTTTTTCACCTGGAGTGAGCATAAGTGTATACGAGGCATGGTTGGCTTAGGCAAGAGCTGTAATAAACAATAACACATTGAATAAATGAGACATCGACACCATGCCCAGCCCTTCTAGGGTAGGGTAGGTGCCTGAGCCTGAGCTTGCAGCTCACAAGAGTGTCATTCCTATTAGCCCCCTTGGGGCGGGGATGACAGACCAGAGAGGTCTAGCTTGTGGCTAGGCCTGGGGACAGTTGGTCCCAAAGATGAGGAGGTACTTGTGCCTCCTCCCATGGGGGACTTAGGTCTCAGATACTTCCTAGACAGGGAGACAAGGCCGGGCCACCACTTGGAAAAGGCCCGGGCCGGGAGAATACCGGCGAATCTTTAATAATAATAATAAATGAAACTATGTACTCCTTGCAACGCAGGCGATAATATACACCTGGAAATCGTTGAGGAACTAGTTCCAAATCTGGACACGGGAATCACTCCCTACGTAACGAAAGACTCGGCAGGCGGTGCAACATCCACCAATGAAAAGAAGGGCTGCAGTACGTACATAGAGAGACACATTAAATGTCAGGGGCCATACATACATACACAGGGGGATTACCAACAGGCGAACCATGATGTGCGGCCAGCAGTAACATCCTGGATGATCAGGTCCTGATCCACGGCGAAGCCTAGTCATGGACCTGGCCGCGGGGGCGTTGACCCCTCAAACACCCTTCATGTATACCTTAATATTCATCTCTCAACAGATAAGATTGTTTACACAATTTAATTGACAATGCACATCACTAGCTGCTGTTGCGTAACTCACCTTCGTTGCCACACTAAGAGTAACCACCTTTCACTCTGCAGTACATCAGAAATTCAGAGGTAGATTACATACATCTCTCGGTGTATATATTCTGTCCCACAGTGAGATGTTTTCCTCCTTTCCACCAATATTTTATCAGATTTTTTTCACGATCAAAAGATTGTGAACATTTTATTTTTTAAATGGAACTTTCTTATCCCATGTGATCCATTTTGTGAGTCATTTGTTAAAGTACTAAAAAACTATGGAAAACTTTTGTTTAATAGCATAAGAACATAAAAACCGTAAAAGCTTAAATATTCATTGTGAGAAACTTAATTTGATTAACTTCAAGACGTTATAATTCTGACAAAATCAATTAACATCAGATTTCATTACTTTCACAAGTCATGGTCAGTCACCATTAAGATTCAATCGTTTATTTTTGTAAATTAGTTTTTAGTCGTTTTTTCAGAAGATACAAACTGAAAATGTAACAAAATTATTAATAATGAGTCAGGAAAAAAACTGCATTTCGTATTACAGCCTCGTCTAAGAACTCCGGGACTCCCAGTCGACGTCATAATGTGAACAACGTATTGATGTCAAAGTTAATTCCTTGAGGAATAAACAGTTTTATGATATAAACTCGTTGTTTGATTATGCATATTATAATAATCTTGGGGAGCGCTAAACCCGTAGGATTATACAGCGTATGTGTGGGGGGGGAAGGATGGAAGGTATTCAGACTCAGTTCAGGGAACCGGAGCACAGATCCAATTCCCCAGATGAAGAGCCCCTCACCAGCGCCAAGGAACCTCCCTTAAGGGGGTTGATTATGCACAGACTACCAGACAACGGAGAGTTTGAGCTGCTGAACAGTGTGTACCACGGTGTGTACCACGGTGTGTACCACACAGTGTTGGCATCATGCCCAGTGTATGCATGTTCATGCAACATGATGCTGCCATGAGTGCCTCACTACCCACACTGATGAAGAAAGAAGACACAGGCTGAAAATAAAATAAAACTTTCATTCTGACATTATTCTCTGTTTATGAAACAAGTGTAATCAGATCTGTTATTGTCCAGGTAACAGCTTGTTCATCAACATGTGTGTTCTTCACGATACGCTTATTTCACTGAACATTAGGACTGATGAGGCTACTTATGGCTAAACGGTTCCCTTTAAGTGTCCTAAAATGTACACAAGTGTCCGTCCCACATATTAAACACCTTACACTGGCTAAAACGTTTCTCGACACCGTCTGTCCGTTACACTCTACCCACCTCAGTACTGGAGGTTCACAGTCAATATTCACAGTGAACACCATCCCTGTCTGCTGTGTTGTCCTGGTCACAGCATCAATTCTCAGCACCGTATATGTACACTGTTCATGGAGTACACAAATGCAATATACTTCAAAACAGATACATTTTATGGGAATTGCAGTTTATCCACAACTGTCACAGTGAAAATTTTCACAAAAGAATTGCATGCACTTTTAGCCGTTCTTATATGAATATACTGGTCAAAATATACAGCATTAAGCTGGATTAGGAATCTCTATATTTTACAGTCTCAGAGGATTGTGATGTTAAGCCTTGTGTAGGGGTCCCCTTTGAGCCCCTCACCACCTTGATGCTGGTGAGGGGCTCTTGATCTGGGAATGGGATCTGTATTCCAGTTCCCCCAGGCGTTGTATAATCCCTTATGGGTTTAGCGCTCCCCCATAATAGTGTAGAGATAGCGTGGAGGACGGTGTGGAGGGTGCTGGTACAGTGGTCCGTAGGGTGGTATAGAGGACGGTGTAGATGGTGGTGATAGCCCCAGCCAAGCTTGTCTAAGAGCTATTCGGTTCGGACTTGTTTAAACAAGTGGTACCTTCAATCTGGTGTAATCAAATCCACCACGAAGGATTCTACCCTCCCGAGGACGCGTCTCTGACCACCACTCTTAATAACACTTGTGCGTGCATATCACATGATGTCCTTGTGGGAATTCTGGCGCTGTTGGGCAGGGTTTATCCTGGGACTCTACTAGCATCCTCGAACTATTGCTGCTAATATTCTACCTTGTTAGATTTATGGTCTAGTTACTGCGCGAATTCCATTGTCTTATTTCACCTAAATCAAAAATCTCAATAATGATTAAACTGTGTGGATATTCACGGGAAAGATACTCGCTCCCTTCAGTGTATATAGGGGCACTGTGTTTGGCAGGAGAAACGCTAAAACTTCTCCTGCCGTGATTTTAGTTATGCAACACAATCATATAAATATATATATATATATATATATATATATATATATATATATATATATATATATATATATATATATATATATATATATATATATATATATAATGTGTGTGTGTGTGTGTGTGTGTGTGTGTACTCGCCTAATTGTACTCAATTGTGGTTGCAGGGGTCGAGACTCAGCTCCTGGCCCCGCCTCTTCACTGAGTGCTACTAGGTCCTCTCTCTCCCTGCTCCATGAGCTTTATCATACCTCATCTTAAAGCTATGTATGGTTCCTGCCTCCACTACCTCACTTGCTAGGCTATTCCACTTTCTGACTACTCTGTGACTGAAGAAATACTTCCTAACATCCCTTTGACTAATCTGTGTGTGTGTGTGTTATTTAATTTACAGCAGGTGCGGGATAAGGCCTCTGTCAAACGACCACACTTTGCCTATAATCCTATAAGTAAAAATATATATTTTTACTTGTAGGATTATAGAGAATTTCAGATCAAATATAATTTAGAAAAGAAAGCTGAAAAAAAATGTTATTTAAAGCGTTTTTAAATTTAATTAGGATAAACTTGCCTATTTTCAGGATACTGGGTTTTCCTGAGAGAACAAGAGAATGTTTCTTCACAGTTTGCTTGAAAGCTGCTGTTTCTTAATGAAAGGTTTAAATCAGACTGCTGGTTTAACCCAGGACTATGTTGGTTTACTCAATGAATGGTGTCCGATTATTATTATTATTATTATAATCAAAAAGAAGCGCTAAGCCACAAGGACTATACAGCAATGGTGTCCGAGCCTTTCAAGCCACTGATATTCTGTCTGACCTCTGTGAATGTTTACTAATTTTACGTAACTCAGAATTATATTCATCTCTAAGATCACATGTTTTAGTAACTATCAGTTATGTCTTGTATTCGAACACCAGTATGAGACTGGGCCCACGCAAAATGCAGTTTGCAATTATCTTCATATTTGTGTTGGCTTCAGGTACAAGCAATGATTCGCAAGTGGCATACAAAGTTTAGATTTGTCATGAATAGTAAACGAGAGATTATGAATTTGAGTACAAGGACCACAGTCAACAGTTCACACTGCAGTGTGAAAGTCACATTATTTATACGAACAGAAGTTTGGTGTTACAGTGCCACTGATACTCATTTTATAACATTGTCTTACACAGTTCCCAGCGTTTGTTTGTCAACGATCTCTTCGTGTATGTATT